TCATATATTATTGCATTTGGCCCGTGGCCCTCAGATTGATTTGAATTTTGGCCCTTTCAGGGAAAATGTTTTTTTAATTTTGGTCCCGTCAGGTAAAATGTTTGGGCACCCCTGTTCTACCACTTTAAAGCTGAATTATGATCACTCACTGCTGAAAAAGAAACATGAGTTTGTGTGTCTTTAAATGTTAGTAAAATATTTCATGAACCACTGAATGGATTTTAATGAAAGCAGGAAGTGATCACTGGATCTGATTAACTTATAGAGTCGATTCAAACCAAAAATCAAGATGGCCACCACAGCTTTTCAGTATTAGTCAACACAAAAACAGCTAAAACTCTGTCAGTTTTACAAATATTTTACAGAAAAGAGCCATAAGAATTATCACCAGAAAACAAGTCACCTGTCAAATATATTATTTTGTCAGTTGAAATTATTGAAATTTTATGAGTTGGTTGATCATAATATTTTTTGCAGGTTATGTATAAAGCTCATAAAAATTTGTTACCTCTAAATAGTCAATTAAATTTTGTCTAAAGAGTAAGTAATTATAGCCTTCAGCATATAGAGATGTTTGTAAAGCCCAAAATTCGAGCAAATTTGAAGGACAGATGTACTTCAGTCCAAGGAATAAGATTGTGGAACAATCTGGAAAGTGATTATAAAAATGCTGACTYAATAAATTTATTTAAGAGAATGATAAAAGTTAGATTGTTGAAGAAATATGAATTTGTATAATGTGCATTCATAAGAAGTGTTGTTCGAGAAGGAGTTAAAGTTTTTGTTATGTTTTGTTCTTTGAAGACTATTATTATTTCAATTTACTGTATTTGTTTTAAAAAAGGGGGCAGATATCAATAAGATTTTTTTTCTTCTTTCTGCTACCTTTCATTTTATTTGTTGTATATATAGCATTTGTTTTGTTTTTAATGAAATTAATACGTTTTTAAATAAAAAAAATCTGATGTGGTAGTAACTGAGAGCCATTCACAACACGCCCTCTGACAGTCCCTCATCAGATTGTAGATAATGTTATTTTTAAGGTTTGATCAAAACAACTGCAACTTCTTCCTTTCTAACATAAAACCCAAGTTAAAGCTCAGAGGGCGTTAAAGCTCCTGTCCAGGAATATTTAATCAAACATTTTATGTTTTATTGATGCTAATCCTAAAACTCATCATCGTCTGTAACTTCACAGGATAATTACAGATACACATAAAATAAATCTTTACACATTAATACTGAGGGACTGGTACTGGAACTATTTATACTTTATTGAAACATTTCAACATTTAAAAACATTTCTTTGTACTTTGTAGTTTGTAAGGTATCAAAATGATCTCGATGATCTTCATGAATTCTTCTAAAGATCTGAATCATCATCAGGAGTGTGTAGTAGCAGTAGTAGTAGTAGTAGTAGTAGTAGTAGTAGTAGTAGTAGTAGTAGTAGAAATTTATTCAGGAGTACAAAGCCTTTTGGCCCATGGTTCCACAACACTATACACAAATAATGCGTTTTCAAAGAGTGTTTATTACAGTGCAGGACAGCCACAGCTTCCCATGGATACTATTTTACATAACATTCAAATTTATATGCATGAAATATGTTTTCTTTGTTTTTAAAGCTTCATAACTGTATGCTGTAACTAACCAAACAGACATTAGTCTAACAAAAATACATCATGTAAAAAGTGTCACCGTGTTTCTCTGCATGAGACCACTCGCCACTTTCATTAGTTAGACTGTTAGCTAACCATCTTGGGAACAATAAAGAGCTGCTGTATTTCTTGTTTCTAATGCAAAGCAAAAACCTCTCTGGTTCAAGGATATGTTTATATTGTAAAGAGTACCGTAGTTTTAGAACGTTTTCTACACTTGAGTACCATTCTGCACAAACACTGATGGAAAATACTTCAGTCAGAGGTGTGGAACTCATTTTCACCGAGGGCCACATGAGCATTATGGTGGTCCTCAAAGGTCCAGTTGTAAATAACGTCAATATTTCATATTGAACTTCAATCAAACACAAAACATTCCTCGTATTATTGCTCTGTCTGAGCACAGCTAACAAACAATAACTGAGCTCTACCTGGTATTTCCTGCATAGAAACAGTGTTTTAACACATCCCCTTAAACACTGAGAACTACGCGTACGACTGACTAAAGGTGAAACAAATAATATAGAAATACAATTAAAAGTAAAAGTAAGAGAGTTTTACTCACTGTTGACTTGTGATGAGTAGCTGCTGTCTTGAATTCTGAACTCTCCCACTTTCCAATGGGAAATCCCCACTGCAGGTGTGTTCCAGTTAGATTTTTTAATTTGTAAATAGGACATTTCCACGTCCCAGTACAACTGGGTCGCAGCAACACGTAGATTTTCCACCGAAGATTTCTCCAGATATGTTTGAATGCTGTGCAGCTCCAACATTGGCGAGTAGGATGCTGTCATGCAGGCTTTAAAGCAGCATACGCTTATTTTAAGACATTAAAACAACTTTGATGATCAATAAAACTCTGTGGCGGGCCACATTTAGACCGGGGGCCTTGAGTTTGACTTAAACCGAGTGAATGTAATCGAGTTTTGACTTGACTCTGACAGGACGGTGCTGTTGGAGCGGCTCGACGTGCTTCACCTCGCTCTGCGAAAGTTCGATTCAGATTGTCGTAATGTGGCATCATAGACAGTCTGATGTGTTATACTGGTTCCTGACTCCGCAGAAGTCGCAGAAATTCACGCAGAAATTTTTTTTGCTCGCTTTTTTTTAATGCTGAAATAAATCAGCCAAAAGGGTTTCTTTTGCTAACACCCTCTGAATCCTTTAAGCAGGAGTTAAGGTGAGAAGACCCTCCAGTTCCAACCCCTATCTGTTCCAATAGGCCTTTCACGTCTCATTTAATCCCACTGCGAGCGCAGATAAGCAGTCAGATGTGCCTCCCAGCATCAAAAAAAAAAAAAAAAAAAAAAGCGCCCTGTTGTTTGAACAGGTCAGCGGCTGACGTAAAGCTTCTGGCCAATTAGAGATAATACACTGGAAAGTGCATGCAGGTGCCTATTTCCATCAGCACCTGTAATTATCCTGGAGCAGGTGGTAACAACTTCCTGAAACCCCAGAGGACAGCGCAGCTCAGGGGTGTGCAGATTAGAGCGGCAGGAACACAATAAACTCACGTGGAGACGAGACACACAAACGTTTGATTAAAGGTTGTTGTTTTTATTGCCTGCTTTTATAAGGACGGCTAGCCCTGCTTCCTCGTCTCGCTGCCATCCACGCTGAGCTGCATGCAAAACAGTCTCAACAAGCCCTTCAAAAACCCAGAGCTGCGTAATCCATCACAGAAAACACAAAAAGCTGGGATTTGCTTCTTTTTTTAATTTCACTTAGCTTAAGTCGATTGTTTGTGTTTGCTTCGTATTCTGCCGAACTTGTGAGAACAAAATTGGTGCATCTCTCCTTTACGACTCGTTTCCTTCTCTTGTTTTTGTAAATCTGATGAGGTTGTGTTTCAAAAGAAATTGCTGAAGTGTTATATTTTTTTATCTAATATTTTAGTAAACCCAGAGCAGCATGTCAGGTCAGCCATCTGCACAATCTCTGAGGTGTTCTACTTTTTTTTCTTTGCAGACATCTGTATGAGAGTACACACTGACCTCATTTCTAAAAGCTCAGGAACAGAACTTTATTTTGCTAAGTGGATACTTTTAATGTCCTGCAAACAAGCTGAATCAGAACTTCAGTGTTGCATCACTGCAGTGTTGATTTTTGAGACAGAGTCCACTTGTTTGCCCCACATATGCCGTACGGGAAACGCTCTCTTTGAAGCCAGACTCGCAGACGAAAAACAAACATGTTGTACAAGTCTGCGTGTGTGTGTGTTTGTGTGTGTGTAGCTGCAGCAGAGAGGTGCCTGCTGTTAACGTGGAGTTGTGTGTTTGTGTATCCAGGGCCAGGAGCATGACTGAGCAGCAGGAGCAGGGTGAAGTAACAGGCCTCCTCTCATCGCAGGACCTGGAGCCCTCCAAAGACGATGACACGCACGGCCACTTCAGGCAAATCTCACACACTTACACACACACACACACACACACACACACACACACACACACACACACAC